GCCTGCTGTGAGCCAGTCTGCTTGCGCAAAACTTCTGTGCTGGGCTTGTGTTTTGTCTGCAGTAGCCTTTGCCTCGTTGGGGGAAGCTGCCTGCTTCTGGGCTCTGCAGGCATTAAATCTTGCAGACTCCACTGAAAGACACTAAGCATCTGCTAAATCTGCTCTTTGCAACTGAGCAGCGCAATGAGTACAGATCTTGGCCTCCTCCCTGCTAGAGAGCAGCTCTGTTAAATTTTTCCTCGCCTTTCTGCAGAGAGAAAACCAAGGTCACCAAAGTCAGCCCAGGAGTGGAAGATGGGCCGGACACCAAGAAAACCAAGCTTGATTCATCAGAGACAACCATGGTGAAAAAGGTACATGGGAAAGCCCCTGTAGAGAGCTGTGAGGCCCAAGGCACGAGGAAGCTTTATGCCTGCAGATAGCCATACGCTAGAGTGGTACGTCGCATGCTTGTATCTTGTGTCCCCCAAGGCAAAAGCAAGGAGATGGTTTAGGAAGTGGAGAGAAGACTTTGGGGCATGCAAGTTTGGCCTGAGAAGAACAGAAGAGTTATTCTGGTAGTTCATCCACTACCAGAATAGGCTATTTTGAGCCTCATCATGATGGGTAGGATGGAGGGCTGGAGGCTTTTTAGACATTCCAGGTGGGTTTCAAGCGTGTCATGAGTGGGATCTTTACATTGCATTGCTGTTTAGTCCTTGCTGGCAGGTGATAAATTCACAGTGCTTTGTGGAGGCCTGCTGCTCATCTTTTGGGATCGTGTTGGAGTTTGGGAGGGCACGTTTTAGCTACTGTGAAATTTTCGTGCAAATACAGTTGTTGCGTGTGCGTGTGAGGTTCAGCTTACTCAGCAGCATCTCAGGACTCTGGAGCTATGTTGAATGTGGACACTGATGGACACTGATTGCACCACTGTTGGTTTGAGTGCTCTCGCCTCAGTAAAGGCTGTTTTCTTTCCTGTGTGGTTGTGGCTATACTGGTATAAAGCACCTTTATACTGGTGTAACTGCCTTTGTGGGGGAAGGGGAGTTGAAACAGCCTTAACTAGGGGCTCCAGCTTTTGTGTGTCAGCAAGGTCTTTGCACCCGAATGGAGAGGCCATAAAAGCTGCATTGTTGCTGCTGTCAACTGATAGCTGAGCTCCCTTGTAAGTGTGACTTGTGGCCTGGGTGTGAAGGGTTTCCATGTCTTCAGGGGAATCTGCTCCAAAGCAAAGCTTTTCACATTCAAATGCCTCCGGCCTGGGCATTGTTTTGGTCTCACAGCTGGAAGTTTAACAGGGCAGTAAGTGCTCGCTGGCCCTGGAGTGGAAATCCCCTCTACTTTATCTGGCTATGAGGAGAATGCAAGCTGAGCCAGCAGATTAATGGCCTTTTGTGTCCCTTTCTCTTGCCCGTCAGTTACAGGGTGTTCAGTGCAGCTTCCCCCCACGCTGGCCTGGATTGGAAGGTATGGGAATATTCCCCAGATGCCGTTCAAGCCAGCTGTCGCCCTCCCACAATTGGGGTTGCGATTCCGAGCATTACGGGCTCAGGTTTAAGATACAGCGAATTCCTGCAGATAGTTTCTGAGATGCCAGTGCCTTGAACAAGCTCTATGGAGTATGGAACTAAAAGTCTCGTGGAGCACTGCCGCTTCCTGCACCTCCTGAATGACTTTGAGCCCGTGGTGTGCTGTAACAGTCTGGCATTTGGAATATGAGGACGATCTGATAGATCCCTGCTAGGAGACAAGGTCCACAGATTCCTGCTGATTGAGTTAGGGATGTGTGTAGGTTGAAGTGATGGAGCAGTGAGGTGGAACGCAACAACTGGGGTTAATGCTGCGTGCCAGAAGGGGCCAGGGCTCTGCTAGGCCTTTCTCTGGTCTGTTTGTGGTCTGATCAGTGACTCCCAAGAGCAGGTCCTCCAAGCAGGGCAGGGTTTGTGTCAGTGAGAGTTTCAAACCTTAGCTTAGGTTCTTCCTTCTTTGTTTTTTTAGTGCCTTTGAGGATTGGAGTTGGTGTTTCTAAAGATTCTGGAGTTGGGCCAACATAGAGTGCTTTGTAAACTCCATCCTGGGCTAAGCCAAAGGCTGGCTAAGACTCTGAGGGCTGGTTATCATTACCTTAAAATGTTTTAATTAGGAGAGTGAGTCACTGAAACATTCTCCTGTTGGGCTGCAACCCAGAAGCTTTGCAGAGACGTGGTTCTAGGGCTTTGCATGATGACTGGATGCTGAGGACAGTGTGCTGTGCAAATGCACGAAGAGTTGGGTAGTCTTGGTCTCCTTCTGTCTCCCTCCTGCCCTCTGGCAGAAGCTATGTGAAAAAGCTGATTATCTTTCCATGGGCAGGCATGTGCTCTCGCTGCTGCAGACCAGCTCGTGACCTGGCTCCTGTGCCCATCTCCATATGGGGCATCAGGCCTTGCTTGGCAGGCCTGCCATCCAGTTGCTGAGTTGCACGGGGGGCGCACGCGAGAGCTGGCCTGCCCCACTGGCCAGACACTGACAGGCCAACACAAACAAGCAGCAGCATGTCATGCCCTAGTGCTGACAAAGGGGAGAAGAATGCAGCCTTTGTTCACAGCCCTTGCGTTGCTGCTCACCAGCATTTAATTTACTGACCTCATCTCAAAGAGACCCTTGTGCTGTCAAGCCTGGGCTGTGGCACCACCAAATGGAGCACTGAAACCATTTCTGCCACTCAACAGCCCCACCACATGGTTTCCTGACCTGGTGCAGCAGCAGCCCCCTGCACCAGACAGCACGTCCCGTGGGGTCTGCAATGCTGACCCCTCTCCCCAGCGCTAGTGGAGGCTGTTGGGGTAGGCACTGACTCGTGGGACAGGTCCTGCACTGAGCAGAGAGGGAGTCACTGGGCAGGAGCGGAGAAGCAAAAGCAGGCCTGTAGGAGCAAGCTGAAGAATAGCAGCTGGTAGGTGCTAGAGGGGACCCCTGGGCAGACCAGGCTGAGCCAGAAGAGAGACATTCCTGTGAGATTTATGAGGGCTGTGGAAATAGGAGTAGCCTGAGCAATTTGGGTCCAGTCTGGCCCCACTGCGCAGGGTTGCTTTGACAGGGGAGGACACGCTGACTGGAAAGCTGCCCAGGGCTTTGCTCTGGGCTTTTGGCAGAGGTTGAGAGGGCTCCTCTTTGTTAGATGACCCCCCCCCCCCAACAGATGCACTTGCTCTCCCATTGCAGCGGGTGGTTTTCTGCCAGCTTAAGGAGGCCCTGGCTGTTGACTGGAGCAGTGAGAAGGCAAAGGCAGCACTGAAACGCACCACTCCGGATTACTTCCTGCTCCAAGGTAAGCAGTGACCTGTTCACTAGTGTGTGTGGTTCCTGCTGCCTTGAGGAGGCTTGTCTCCCTGACTCTTCCTGTTTTCCTGTGTCTCCTTTCCCCATCCTGGGATGCCAAGAGCTCTGCTCCCCCTTGCAAAGCTGTGGATTCTATACAGATCTGTGCGTTTGGCAGGACTGCCTCTCTGTCAGGACTGGGACCTTTTCATGCTGTCATCTTTGTCTGATGTCAGCTAGTTGCAAGACCAGGTGGACACTCCCCATCAGTGCTAAAATGTGCCTGGAAAGTGCCAAGCTCCGTTCAGTGAGTGAGCACGAGACGCTTCCTGTGGCAAGAGCTAGCTTTGATTTGTTGGCTTTGAGGTTATTGCGAGTTTGCCATAACTGCAGCAAGCTAAAAATACCTGGGCGACTGGAAACAGCCTTCTCCCTGGAACGGAAGTGCCCCACCAGCCCCAAGGGCACAGCTCAGCCCCATCATGTGGTTTGCTTGTCGCCCTCTCCCTCCAGCACAACTCTGCTCTGGTGGCAGGGCTTAAACAGGCTGCAGCCATGGTGAAGCAGGGTTTTCTGGTGAGGTTTGGTGCTGGCTCCCACATTAGTAATAGCCCTGCTTTCCCCTGAACACCGGGGGATATGGTGAGCCCCTCACATGGGCGGACAAGGAGAGATGAGTTAACAACAGCACTGCATGGGGGGAACCGGGTCTGTACGCTTCAGGGCTCAGACTTGTCTCCCTGTCTTGCCATAAGCTCTTGGCTCCTCTACTAGCTTGCTGGGCTCTGTTTGAGTTGCAGGTGTCTCCTGCCAAGATGTCTGTGGGAAGTCAGGCCTCAGTGAGCTATCCTGAGCGTTTCAGAGCCTGTCTCCTCCCCACACGGGGAAGGTTTGGAGCGTACTTCACGGGCTCATGCTGGCTACATGAGTCTTCTCTGTTAGGTGGACAGAACATTGCATTAAGGTAGCTTCCAGCTCAGAGCATGGGCAAGTGAATGTCTGACTGTGGTGCACCCTTTGGGGAGAGCCGGTGTGCTGTTCTGTGGCTTGGACAGCTGTTTCAGCATGACAGCCCACAGTGGGGGCAGTGGACTCCGAAGCTGCCTTCCTGCTCTGCTGTGGAAGCTAATCAGCTGCCTGACTTTTACTTTTCAGTCGAAGTCCCTTTAACTGGGCTTTCAGCCATCTCCGTGGTCCCTGCTGCTCTCCCAAGGTGCTGGCTCTGTGTGGGAGGTGTCCTCTGCTTTTGACCTGCAGCCAACTGAGAAGTGCTGATGCTCCTAAAAGAAAAACGTGAAGTTGCTGCTCCTGTTTGCTTTTCCCTAGCTCACGGCAAGCACACTGGGCTTCTTGGCAGCTCTCCCAGCAGCCGCCTTGCATCCCCTCAGATGTGGTCAGGCAGGCATCTGCAGAGTGCCACCCTCCCCACTCCTCACCCGGATGCGTGGAGCCAGCAGTGGGCACAGGGCCCAGATAAACACCACTCTCCCCCTAGATCTGCTGGGGCTTGGAAGAAGTATCTTGGGGCCTAGCCTTTCTCTTCAGCTTCATTACCTGCTGCTACACAGAAATGTGCAAACCCAGGGCTTTTCCTGTCTGCGGGGTGAGGCCGTTATCTCAGTTAGCAGGCAGGCCAGTGTGTCAGCAGCATTCCCCGTCTGACCTGGTCAGAGCCGCCCTGGATTGCTGTGGTGTGAGGAATTGCTTGGCCTGACCATGACTGGAGACTGTTCCCCCAGGGAATCCTGCACGCCAAGGGCAGCAGGGCTTGGGATGGTGACAGCAGTCCGGTAGAGTCATTGGCTGAAAGCCCAGTCGGAGAAACTGGGATGGGTGCTTTTCCTTAGGGTGACTAACTGCGCTCACGTGGGTCCGAGCTGTGATGCTGTCTCCCTCTCCCAGTGCTGCTGAAATTCCGGACAGATAAAGGTCGAGATCCTTTGCCCCAAAGCTACGCCGAGGACTCCAAGCTGCTGCTCCAGATCCGCGATGACGTGCTGGACTCACTTGGCGTCAGTATGGACCTTCTGCCAGATGATTTCATCAGGTGTGTTGGGTGTAGCATTGTGGGATGAGGACAGCCCAGCCTAGTGTGGCTGGTGGCAAACGATCATGTCCCTGGCACATCACCAGCCACTAACTCTTGAGGGTGGCTGGGATTGTTCCTCCCGAGTAGCTTGCCAGGAGCTGTGCTCAATGGTGTAGGAGCTCAGGTAGTTTTCAGTTTCTTATCTGATACCTAGTTCACCACAAGCCTTTCAAAAGAGAGTACTAGGTATCCCATGGGAGGATGGCAGTCCACTCTTAAGGATGTGACCCTCAAAAAGAGCTGAGCTTTCTCATGCCTAGGCCTCACTGGACTGATATCCCCATAGGAGAGTCCTGATGGTGCAGCTTCTCCTGGCCGGTGGGCCCTCGGGGAATCGGAAGGCAGAGAAAGTTCATCCTCCTTGTGAGGCAGACTTCAGTGCTCTCCCACTGTGTGGGAGGCACGGCTCCTCTCCCAGGGTGGGTGTGCAGGATGCTCGCCTCTTGAGATCCTGGCCTGGCACTGTGCGCTGATCCTCCCCCGCTCACTGCGAATCCTGCTGAGCACCAAGGTTCAGCATTGCCGGTGACCGGAGCTGTCTGGCTGCACTGCCTGTGTGAGGGCTGTACGTCCTTGCATTTGCTCTGGGTCATCTTGCGCGCTGCCGGTTCCACCTCGCTGTGCAGGCCAGGGCGTTACACCCCAGCAGGGATTAATGGCTTGTTGGAGGAGGTCCACCTCCTTTCCCAAGGCCTTGGTGCTGTCCTGTGGGCCAAAAGCAGACGGTGCGTGACGCTGTCCCTGCTACTCCTGTCAGACTGGCTTGAATGAGGGCCAGACACCAGCCTGTTCTGCCAGACAGACTGTGGGACCCTGAACAGCTACGTATGGGCTGGGCCCAATCCCAGACAGCTCCACGGGGCCATGAGACCATGATGTAGTATATCCTCGGGTTGGGAAGGCCCTGTCTTAGCTGCCCCTCTCATGGCTGTTGCTGCAGCCCTGGGGCAGGGAGCTCCATGTCCTCACTGTGACACTGGGAAGTGGTGTCAACACAGGGGTATTTGCAGACCCTGTTGACTATGCCCCTTGGTGCAGGGCCTGGGAGGGTCCCTCTCACCCATGCACATTCACTGTGGCTGGGAACTCCCGGTTCCCCCTGCATGTTGCCACACGCCACCCAGCTGCCCTGCGTCTGGGAGTTTCATGTTGACCCCATGGGCCGTTGTGTGCCACCAGGAATGGTGAGAATGTGCCCCGGGCACATGGCACTATTCAAGGGTGCTATTTTTAGCAGGGTCACAGGAAGCATGCAGGGGGCTGGGATGGGATGCGTGTGTGTCTAATGAGAGCTTGGGGCGGAAGCAGCCTCGGTGTGTCCCTCCTCGAGTCCAGCTCGGCAGGGTGCCCAGCTCGGTCCAGCTGACTTCCCAGCCCCTCTCTGTCCCCATCATCCCCAGAGTCCTGGACTCAGTATCTTCTGGCTAGCATCTTGCAGCAAGGTGCACCTGCTCTGCCAGCCTCTGCCTGAGGGTCTCGCTGCTCTCCCAGTCTCTCTCTGCCTGACCCTGCAGAAGAGTGATGGTTGCAGCACCAGTCCCAGGGGCTGGACTTGGGGCAGAGATTGGAGTCCTGGGGCCCCTCTTGCATTCTGCCCTTCTTGCTGAGAAACCTCAGTCTCTGGGACCTGCTTGGTTAGACTGAGAAGCTTCTTGCCCTGCTTTGCAAGGAGCTAGAAGTCATGTTGGTGGCTGGCGTTTCCTCCTCTCTGGGAAGTCGGAACAGCCTGGGCATCCAAACTCTGGTTATTGACTCTGCCTTTTTTCCTTCTAGCTATTGCTTCTCTGAAATGACTCCTGTGTGTGCAGTGGTTGGAGGAGTCCTGGGGCAGGAGGTTGTCAAGGTAGCAGCTTTCTGGGGAGGCGATGTCTGTCAGGGTGGAGGAGGTTCTCTGGGGTGGGAGGTCTGCAGCCTCCCGGGTCCTTCCTGGGCTGCAGCGGGGTGGTGAGGCCAGCCAGCCACAGCACTTGGTGAAGGCCCAGGGCAGCAGACGATCTCACTTTTGCGCG